TATTGGGAATATCAGGAATATCGGGAATATTGGGAATGGGAACATCGGGAATTGTATCGGGAATGTCGGGAATGGGATCGGGAATGTCATTGGGAATATCGGGAATTGTATTGGGAATGTCGGGAATGGGAATATCAGGAATATTGGGAATGGGATCGGGAATGGGATCAGGGAGAGCCCCGGCACCGCCTCGACATCGGTGAGTGCGGAATGTCGGGAATGATAGCGGGAATTGTATCGGGAATATCGGGAATATTGGGAATATCAGGAATATTGGGAATGATATCAGAAATCTTTGGAATGATATCAGGAATATCAGGAATATCGGGAATATCGGGAATATCGGGAATTGTATCGGGAACGATACTGAGGGCATTGGGAATCGGGAATGTCGGGAATTTTATCAGGAATTGTGTCGGGAATTTTATCGGGAATTGTATCGGGAACATTGGGAATGTCGGGAATGTCGGGAATGGGAACGTCGGGAATGTCGGGAATGTTGGGAATGCTGGGAATGTCGGGAATGTCGGGAATGTTGAGAATGTTGGGAACGTCGGGAATGTTTGGAATGTCGGGAATAGGAACATTGGGAATGTCGGGAATGTCGGGAATGTCGGGAATGGGAACATTGGGAACGTCGGGAATGTTTGGAACGTCAGGAATGTTGGGAACGTTGGGAATGTCGGGAATGTCGGGAATGTTGGGAATGTTGGGAACGCCGGGAATGTCGGGAATGTTGGGAATGGGAACGTTGGGAATGTCGGGAATGTCAGGAATGTTGGGAATGTCGGGAACGTTGGGAATGTCGGGGAATGTCAGGAATGTCAGGAATGTTGGGAATGGGAACGTTGGGAACGTCGGGAATGTCGGGAATGGGAACATTGGGAACGTCGGGAATGTCGGGAATGGGCTGAGGGAGAGCCCCGGGCACGGCCTCGAGATCCGTCAGGAATTCCAGGGCTTTTCGGGGAATTTCAGGTTTTTGGGACCAAATTCCCGGGATTTGGGGGAATGTTGAGGTTCCTGGGCTGGAATTCCTGGGATTTTGGGTGGATTTGGGCTGGAATTACCGAGATTCGGGTGGGATTTGGGTGGATTTGGTGGGATTTGGTTGGATTTGGGTGGATTTTGGTTGAATTTGGGTTGGATTTGGTTGGATTTTGTGGGATTTGGGTGGATTTTGGGTGGATTTGGTGGGATTTGGTGGGATTTGGGTGGATTTTGTGGGATTTGGTTGGATTTTGGTTGGATCTGGATGGATTTCGGTTGGATTTGATTGGATTTTGTGGATTTTGGTGGGATTTGGGTGGGATTTGGGTTGAATTCGATTGGATCTGGGTGGATTTTGGTTGGATTTTGTGGGATTTGGTTGGATTTTGTGGGATTTGGGTGGATTTTGGGTGGATTTGGGTGGATTTTGGGTGGATTTGGTTGAATTTGGTGGGATTTGGTTGAATTTTGTTGGATTTTGTGGGATTTGGTTGGA